TTCTGGGTCTGCCCTGGGGCTGCCTACCAGAGGGATGTGCCCTGAACAGCTCTAACAGGACACGTCCAGGAGGCATCCTGATCAGATGCCTGAACCACCTCATCTGACCCCTTTCGACGGGAAGGAGAAGCAGCTCTCCTCTGAGCTCCCTCCGGATGTCCGAGCTCCCGACCCTATCTCTATGGCCGAGCCCAGACATCTTCATTTTGCCTGCTTGTATCAGTGATCTTATTCATTTGGTTGCTACCCAGAGCTCATGACCATAGGTGAGGGTTGGGATGTAGATGGACCAGTAATTTGAAAGCTTTGCCCCCCGGCTCAGCTCCTTCCTCACCACCACGGTCCAGTGCAGCGCCTGCATCACTGCAGACACCGCGCCAAACCACTGATCCATCTCATGCTCCACTCTACCCTCATTCATGAACAAGATCCTGAGATACTTGACCTCCCTCGCATGGGGCAGTAACTCTCTCCCAACCCAGAGGGGACAATCCCCTGTTTTCGGACAGAGAACCATGGCCTCAGATTTGGAAACAGTACAACAAAATATAGAAAATAGCCAACCTTATCCTTTACAGGTAAGGAGGAACTACCTGATGTAGTTTCCTTTCCACAAGAGGTTACAGATTAGTGTCCTCAAGTTGATTTACAGAAACTTACATGATTAATAAAATTGTTGATTTTCTATTAGATTATTATTATAAACTTTATCTCTGAGGTTTTAACTGTTGCATAGACAAAACAACTTGAGCACGACACATTTTTTATTATTCAGTTAATCAAATAAAAATGTTTATTAAAGATTGCCTCTGGTAATTATTCAGTTGCTCTCAAGTCAGATTGTTTTACCTTCTTATTCCACTAAAAGGATAAATTGGTGTAAAGAAGTTTAGAAATTCTGGCTCAAAACAACTGACAGTGAACAAACTTGAACCCTGAGTCTCTGCAGAAAATAATAAGTCCAGAAAATAAATCTGTCTTTCTACAGTCTGTGTTTACCACTCAAAATTGCTTTCTTTTGAAATTAGTAGCAGACGTCCTCCACAGTCCTTAAGTGGTTGGTGACAGTAGAAAGGAAACCATTCTTCACAAGGAGATCCAGTCATCTTTTGGGAATCCGGCAGAGAACATTTTTGTATTTTCCTTGATGTCAATAACTGAAGCATCTTAATTAGTGGAGGTGAGAAGCTCGTCTCCTCTGCAGCACTTGTCGTTTGGATTGATTTATTTTTTACATCAAAGTGTTACCTGCTGAAGCTTTTAAGGAAAAGAATTACGAAGCAGGAAGGAATTCACATATGAAATTACTAGACAGGTTTTTTTTCACTCGTTTATATGGATTTGTGCTGGCTTTGCCTCGTTTCATCTCTGTCCCCTGCTCCATCTCTATCTAATATAATCCATCTGTCACTTTTGCTCTTGTCAAGGACAACACTGTGATGGAGTTGTTCACACATGGTGGGGTTTTTTCAAATCTAAACCTCCACCTACCTGAGCTTCAGTAGAGAGACTAGAAGAGGCGAAGCAAAGTGCCATTATCTACAACCGCTCAACAATTTCACTTCTAGACTTGCAGCATAAGTTGAGTTTAGTGGACTAAATGTGGGACTGTTTTGCTCTAAGAAATGACAAAACTATCCACAAGATTCAGAGAGACATCTGCAAACAAATGTGTGTTTGGTCCAACAAGGAGCATTTTAGTTTTCACTATGTTTAAAATTAAAAAGTTTGGAGATATTCAGTTTTAAACAGGCAGGTGTGAAGTTTTGAGAGACTTCTTATGAATTTCCAAGGTTGAATTGGCATATATAACTGCATATCATCAGCATAGCCATAAAATGGAGCCCATAATTATGAATAATTCCATCTAATGTACCAGAAGAGAAGAAGACCCAGGACAGTGACTTGAGGTACACCAGGTAAAACTAAAGGATTCAGGCAGGGTATATTTATCAAATACAAAATGAGAATGAAGCAGTTTAATTCTTATTTAATGTCTATCATTTACTAGAGGTGGTGTAATAACAGGCTATGACTAACGGGAACTGCCCATTGGTCCAACATACCATTGTTCCGACCATATTAAACCCATTGTTCCGAAGTCCGTTCCAAAATCATCATAATGCCCTGTGGTTAAGGTCTGGTTAGGTTTAGGCACAAAAACCACTTGGTTAGGGTTAGGAAAAGATCATGGTGTGGGTTAAAATGAAAAAGAAAGTGACAAACACATAAGCTGTGAGTCTGTTTCGCCTCAATCCTTTCCCAGCTGACCCAGAGCCGGTCGCGGCGCACCATCAAGGTAGAAATACGCCCGCCGGGAGCCGTTCAGCACCACGGACCGTCAGACTAATGGGGTGTCAGACCAATGACATGGACCCTGATTAACACCGTCAAATGCTGCACTGAGACCTAAATCTGCAGCTCCCTTGGCTTTACAGAGTTTTACAGTGAGTTTCAGCTCATTGTTAAGCTGTACAACCCACAATTTTACTGTTTTGTTTTGCACTGACTGCTCTCACTGTCTTGTTTTTAACCGAAGCTGGCTGCCTACTCAGGGAATAAGCTCTTTAAACTTACTGTACACTACATCCTCAGCCTTAAACAGCAGACCAAAAAGATAGTGACAAGCTGGTGAACTTAGTGGAGCATTCAACATCTAAGGAGACAGATATTTCCCTCAGGAGTCAGTGGAGACCAAAAACAGAGCTCAAAGAGAGAGATTATTGGACTGAAATTCAACGGGTGACCTGAAACAAACACTCTAAATTAGTGATAATGTTGCTCAGTAATTGCTGGATGTCTAAATGGGCAACTGTTCTTTCAGGTTTAAGTTAGGCTTCAGAAGTTTGTGGTTGCCATTAAACTCCACGAAGAAGAAGAAGAAGAAGAAGAAGTTTGTGGTAAAAAAAGTAATTAAATTGGTGGAGAACCTGAACATTAACTCAAATTAAAGCAGCAAAAAAAGATGTTATTACAGTATACAACAGCGCAGAGGCATTATAAACACACTTCAGACTTCTCGTCCGAAGCTTTGACTATCAAGGCCAGTTAATCTAAATTTCAAATGGTTTCAGAGGGAGAAAAATATCTTTACCCACAGAGCCATTTCATACAGCAGGTTTGAGTTTGAGCCGACTAACCAGGGAGTCCCTAACAAGCTTCTCTGGGCTTTTGCTTCAGTCCTGGTGGGTCATTATTTTGCTTCCTGGCAGAGGTGTCAAGCAGCAGAGGAATACTTCAGGGAAGTAGGCGTCGGGGGCTGGTGAAATATATTAAGTCAGTGGGTATGTGCTGAATGTACAATGAATGAATGCATTACTGCCCTCCCTTCCTTTTCCTGACTTCATGGTCATCCGCGGGTGAGCTGAGCCCCGCTCATATCAGTCCGTGCTCTCAGAGGAAACGGTGATGAGGACGTTGTTTTTGGCGGAGGGCAGCGACACTCGGATTGGAGAAGAATACTGATGATTGTGAAGCACGTCCTGAGTTTTATTACTGTGCCCAAGGCTGGTTATGATTAATCACCACTGTCCACTGACGCTTCATGCAGCTTCATGGCCATGTAATACAGTTAACCTGCGATAAAACACCTACAGTCCTCACAGCTCACAGCACAGCAGACAGACTGCTGAAATATTTTTGAATTCTTTAAAGGAAATAGGCTAAAATTTAATTCCTAAATGGTGGCTGGTTAGTAATGACAGTGTGTTTTTCTCCTTGGGCTGTTACAATGTATGCAGCCTGCGTGTGTGGTCTCCTGTCTTTGTGAGGACCAGTTTGGGTCTTGGGAGTAAGACAGTGTGGAGTCGAAGTATAAAGTGGCATGAAAAGTAAGAGAGTACAAGTTCCCGAAATTCATAGTGAGGTACAATACTTGAGTGTGTGTACTCGCCACTGGTTAAGGTACAAGGGAAAGTATTATGTGAATGTGGGACTTTACAAGTACAAAACCAATAAACATGCATGTGTGCATGCCTGTGTGTGCGTGCCTGTGTGAGAGTAGTGTTAAATTAAGGTGGCAGTGCAGGTAGATTCAGTTAGAGGAGAGAAGATGATAATGATCTGTGATAACCTGACTCTGAGCCCCTGGCAATGAATCAGACCTGTGACACACACACACACACACACACACACACACATACACACAGAGTTACCTACCTATCTGCTACACTCACACACATTTTATCAATTTATTTATGCCCACACAAAAAGAACCATACATACAATATTAAACATGCAACAGAATACATTTAGTCATGGAACAGTGACATAGGTCTTTGCTGTAGAAAACATAGCACTCAGTTGTCAGGGATATAAGTAACAGTGTCTCCACCATATATGGCAGTAGAGACAGCACAGTACTTTGCAGGTCATGTAGCCCTATTTTTGGGCATCCTAAGTTGTTGAAGCCCTCTTAAGACCAAGCTGTGAATTTGTCTGAGGCTGCCCAATATGAAAGCAGGTAGTCCGCACCTATAACCTACGTCGGCTATCTCTATAACAAACACTTCCTTGGACTCTTCACTGACAACCACAACATCTGGTGGTAGACAGATGTGAAAGGGTATCTGGGTTACAATTGTAGAGGTGGAACATGGAAGGTTTGACGCAGGAACATTTGTACATTCTGGATGAAAAAAGGCAGGATATGGCTTCTGCTCTGAGGTCTACTAATCTGTCATGACGTGCTATGTACAGTCATTTGTAAGCATGACAGCTATCCAAGATGTGTGACAGCTTCCATGATGTGTTCTGTGGTGTGATGCAAACAGTGAGAAACCACAGGTTGAGAGACAGGACAGTGAGCAACACACACACCCTCCATTTCGTATTATCTCCCACTTTCATGCTCTTCCTTTACCTCTCAATTTCCTCTTTGTCATTCTTGCCTCACTTAGTGTCTTGCCTCAGTGATGACTTATGTGAGGATGGACTGACCTCTGCTTGTATCTTTGTGTGTGTGTGTGTGTGTGTGTGTGTGTGTGCGTTTGTTCTCTCAGGTGGTCCAGGCTCGGGCAAATCTCTCCAGTGTGAGCGGATGGAGGAGAGGTTCGGCCTGCGTTGCGTCACCCTGGGTGACCTGCTGTGTAACGAGCTGCAGTCTCACAGCGATAGAGGGCGTCACCTGCGAGACGTCCTGGAGAGAGGAGAGCAGCTGCCCGAGGTCAGTGGGGCACTTATGTCACCTGAAACAGGACTATCCCAGATTTTACTGTATAATGAGTTCATGTTATGGCCGCCATTTTTAATTGTTTTAACTCAAAACGCTTCATTGTTGCAGTTAGGAACAAAAAATGGAGCCACAAGCGACTGTTTGTCTTGGTCAGTGCATAACTTATAAAAACAGTGAGAGAGAAGAAAAAGAAAAAATATGTACTGCAAAAGTCAAGAATCATATAGGCCTATATAAATATGTTATTCTGCTATTAGCCGAACACATAACTGAATTTTTTAGCTCTGTGATTAGTCTCACTCTCCAGACCTTTCTCAAGAAAAGAAAGGTCTGGCTGGGCCGACTCTCACTTTGAGATTGGAGAAAAAAACACCCCGGCTGCTTGTACTTCTTTCAACCAATCACAGTCGTTCTGGGCGGTGCCACAGCAACAGTGCGCTTGCAAAAATATTGCCGGGGGGAAACAGGTTTTGGTGTAACACGGCCACTAAAATATCACCTACAGGACGCGAACCATGGCAGAAAAATGGCTACATCCCCGCAAGATCAAACACCGCAAAAGTTAGTAAAGGACGTGTTGAGAACGGTTGAACACAACCGGTGGCGGTAGGGCGGGACTTCAGCGGGTGGCTCGTTCCGCCCAATGAGAGGCTGATCTCTGCAGCGAACTTCCGCCCACTCAGACTACTCTGTGATTGAGTGTTTCCTGCCAAAATGCACCCTGGGAGTCGTAGTTAACTTCTCCTTCAACAGTAATTTACAGAGGTTTGTAACTTTGACTTTTTATCAAAGAATTGCATCTTTTAGAACACAGTTGTTAATCATTTGTACTGAACGGCAGCGTTTTCATGTCCGTGTTTCAAGATGGTGTTAATTCACTTTAAGCCCAGTTCAGACCAAAGATTCTTGATGAGACAAACAGTTTTAAATCACTGCAGAGAAAAGTTGCAGCGGTGTGAACTGGGTGGTCTTAGCTCGACTCAAGTCAGCTGATGACCTGTGACTCAGCTGGTCAAATCACCAGTGGCTGGTTTTAGAACATAAAGCACATCACCTGTTTCAACAGCCAATCAACTTGTAGTGAAGTCCATGAGTCAATTTAAAATGACAGCAGACCGCATGTTCGCTTAGTCTCATTCCAAAGTCATCGATATCCGGCATTTGGGCAGTAACTTGTGGCATTAGATGATATGCGACCGGTTGCCGTTATAGTTTAACGTCAAGGGGAAACGTGGCGGGACAAGGACGAAAGTTAAAGCAGTGAAACTCCGAGTAGGGTGGGTTTGAGTGGTGGTGGATGGGTCCAGCAAACACCCACTGTCTTGATTCTAAAGCCAAATCCTGTTTTTTTTTCCCTAAACCTAACCACATGCTTTTGTTGCCTAAACCCAACCATGTGTGTTTATTGTTGAAGGAAAAAAAAATCGCAATTTGCAGTGTTGTACCGACACGTTTTGAAAGAGACTGTATTTCCTGTGAGTATTTTAAGAAGCTACAAATTGTATTAAGCCACAAATAAGCCTGAAAAGCTGAAAATCAGAACGGAAGTACAGTTGTTGCATAGAGATGATACACCATCTCGTCTAGTTGCAGTGTGAACTGGCAGATTTTTAGAACAGCGCATTGCAGGTAGTTGTCTGTTTCAACCTGTCTCGTTGCAAAACTTTGGTCTGAACTGGGCTGTACTAAAAGTCTTTTTTGACTTCTCCTGCTTTGGTATGTGTGAGCCTCTACAAATCTGTCTCTTTCCCTAAACCCCTGACTTTATTCTGACAGGATAAAGTCTATGAATGCTTTTTTGAGGCACAAGGGATTTTATTTTCTGGAGCAACACAGTTAGCCACTGACAATAAGGGTGTCCATACAATATACATTATATTGTTGGATTATTAAGACTGATGCATTACTGTTTAAGCAATAAAAAGTACAATGTCTCCCTCTAAAATGTAGTGGAGTAGAAATCGAAAGTAGCATCAAATAAGTCAAAAATACTTTTAAACTTGCATGAGATCAGTATACAAGTACATGTTCTCGGTTACTTTTTGCCACTGCTTTACAGTCATTTGTTTTGACATCAAAGTAGCAGTACAAGATGAAAAGTCAAACTGAAATCAGGCCTTATGAAAATTTTGTAACCCCTCAGCCTATTTTTGCAGGTGGAAAATTGTAATTTTGCATGTACATTTTTATTTAAGAAACTGACCATTTCACCAATAATTTTACCTGTCTTCCAGAGATGAAAGCATTAATTTAGAAAAGAACATACTGAGAAGAAGTGGTTTGTTTGAATTGATACAAGAACAGAATATTAAATATGAGCAGTGATTGCAAATTGGCAGTGTGTCTGAACATAAAATCAGAGAACAATGATGCCACAGAAACACCCACATGGTTTGATTGGCAGGTGATCTCTGAGCAGTCAGCTCTGTGCGGCAGGCTGAGCCAATGAAATAATAACTTAAAAACAAGATCCTGCAGATTATTATTTTATAAAGACAGACAGCTGGAGATGCTGAAAGACAAATCCCTTCATGCTGTCACTAAAAATTGTATTACCAGCTCTCAGGCTGAGAGAATATAAGGTGTTTTTATGAAAAGGGCCTAATGAAATAAATAGAAGAGGGAGGACTGCAGCTGAAATATTACACAGTCAAGAGCCCTCAAAATGGCTTTCACAGAGATTGTTCATCTATACACACTGTACCAAACAGTGCTGGCATGGCTGTCTGAGCATATATTGGGGCTGGAAACGACCACAGAGTGTACGAACTGGATAAATTATCTACAGCTCCAAACACTCTCAGAGGAAAACACATTTTCTGAGAAGACATAAACATGGACAACTTGTCTGTGGTTTATGGGAGATATATGATGCTGATTAAAACTCACTCTGACTATGTTAATAAGCTCATAGTGTAGTTAAAGCTGACAATTCTCTGTAATATTGTAGTTAATATAAGTGAGGTACTTAATAAGTTTATCCACAAAGGACTGAGGGAGTCATTATGTGTTAAAGATCTCCTCCAGCCATGTTTTGAGCAGTGGTAGAAGAAGTACTCAGATCTTTTACTATAGTAGAAATAGCAATGCTGCTCTTTACAAGTCCTACATTTAAGATTTTAATTAAAGCAGCTCTTAACTTTCTTGCACTTCACACAGCACTTAGAAAAAATTTGAACATCCACAGTTGGTCGGAGTTTTCCTAGAACCATATGAGAATGGTATATTATTAATGGTATATTATTTTTTATCTCTGGTGGAATTCACTTACATTTTAGTGTGCCATCAGTTTATTAATAGCATTTTAACCTAAACAAAGAAAAGCATAAAATTTCCAGAAAGGTAAGTGTTGCTTTAAGTAAAAGTACAACAGAATTAATAGGAAAATGTAGTTAGTGTTACATTAAAAGTATTTTGTGGGAAGAACGGTGTCTGTATTCTTGTATTCCTGACAACTCTGACAGCAAGAAGTAAAAACAAAACCCTCTGTCAATAAAGACCAAATAACTTGAGCCCCGACACAAATTAAGTTACACAGGAATATGTTAGCATATTATACAATAACTTATAACTTATAAGCAGCTTAACAGCACTAAAACATGGAAATTACTACGAGAGCAATGTGGCTTACCTCTCCCACAGAGCACAACAGCAGAAGGGGAGCGGCAAGGCAGGAGACACCCCTTTATAGGTGGGGTACCCCCAAAGGTGAACGTAATATTACAAATGTACACTTGACTTTGTTACACATTTTACTGCTGTATAATTGACCCTGTTACACAAGAATAAAATAGCATAAAATTGAAATTAAACACAGTAAAAGTACCTTAAAATTACACTTAGGAACAGTGCTTGAATTAATAGTTAATTCTTTTATAATAAAATAATAATATTTGTATCTAATTAGGTTTTTTTTCAACAAAAAGGGTTTTTTTTTTTTTTTTTTTTTTTTTTGTTTAAAATTTTTGTAATAATATTACATCTACTTCTTCTCCCTCATTACAAAACCCTAAATTTGGAAACATGCTTATATTTCAAATTCTGCTTGCTGAACACAAGATGTGTCGCACTTCACAATCTAAAAAATTATTAATGGGGTTAGTGGATAACGCTTAAAATGAAGACGTTTTTCAGCATAAAAAAAATTACATTTGTTTCAATAACATGATGTAGTCAGGTGACAATTTATTTTAAGAAGTTGGTCAAAATCCAAATCTTTTTTCACATTTATGAGTAGGATGGAATTAAAAAAGTAAGTTAGAATTTCTTAAATAAAATACTCACACTAAATATTAAACAAAACGTTTGGATAAGTATTAAGTTGATTCAACTTAATTCAATTTTTTCATGTTAAAACAAGTCATTTTGGTTGGACTAAACTAACTGAGTAAGTCTAACTGAGACTTGTGGGACTTACTGAATAATGCCAGAGTTGGAACTACTTAAAAGGATCTGTACAAAGTGCTACCTTAATTTTTTTTAAGTTGAACCATGGATTCGTTTTTAAAATGCACTTTAAAGTCTGTTTTTAGTGTGTGAGCACTGGAGGTTTCAAGTGTCCACATCACACTTTTGTAAGCTGCATATTGAACCATGATTAGCTTCAGGTCATGTCACTAAATCATGGTTATAATCGTGCTGAGATTGAAGGTGTGTATGGAGAAACTCATTAGATGAATGTGAAAACAGCTTTCAAGTGTCAAACTCTGCAGATAATCATTCCGCACAGTGAAGTTCAAACAAACAGGAAACGTAGCAATAGGCGAAACACATGATTAAGTGAAGGGGGACTTTAAAAAATGTATAAGCAGAACGGCAGTCCAATAAAATCTGATATTAATGCAGTGGGATTCAGCCCCCAGCGATGCACAGTGCAGGTGAGTCCACTGTGCATTGCATTCATTATCAGAATCCTTCATCTTCTTGTCAGACTGTGAGTTCAATACCACAGTCATCTAATGTCCCCAATCACTCTGGCTGATCAGACCTCT